GGGGAAGGAACCTTGTGGGAGACTATCTAACCAAGAAGGTTGGACAACAGAAACAATGGGATCATCAGTTCTAGAAGCTCTCCTGAGGCACATCACCACAATCAATAAATACCTGTGAATGTTGGGCAGACTCACAGCTAGGTGTTTTGGATCAGTTTCCTAATCAAAAAGACATTTCCATCTCATAAATGCTGAAATGTGTCTTTCCTGTTGCATGTGTCTAAGGCCCTCTCTACACATGTATTAGACATTTACAAGGTTAATTGCACAAGTGATGGAGACCAGCTCCACATGCATATTAACTGCCCTGCCTTTAAAAGATCCAAACAGCTATAAAGATAGAGCTGGAAAATGTGTAAAAACTTTATAGCATGTTTCTCTCCAGCTTTACTTGACATGTGTAGCGCATGCCTCTGCAGCAACTGTTGTCATCCCAGCTGGCACCAGTTGCAGTCTCCCAGCCATGGGGATGCATGGAGTGCCCCCAAAGCTGGAACAGTGTGTCAGTTGCCATCTCCCAGCTGTGCGGGGTGATGCATGGAGTTCCCCTGCAGCTGGGACACTGCATTAGTTGCCGTCTCTCTGCCATGGGGGTGCATGGGATGATCCTGCAGCTGGGAAACTGGGTCAGCTGATGGGGCTGCCCATCATGGGACCACATGGCACACCCACAGCTGAGAGCCTTGTCAGCTGCAAGGGCTCCCAACTGCAGGAACTAGCTTCTTGCTGGTGCAAGGGCAGCGTTGGATTGGGCTTCCACTGCACTGGCAATATGGCATGATGGGTTCTGATTCATGTTCCTACAATCACGCTTCCTGCCATGCATGTGTGGCATGGCAGGAGGTGCAGTTGCGTGGATTACACATAAAATTCCATTACTCCTTTACCTGCATGCATAGAGGGGTTCCTAATGAAAGATTTTGACATTTCCAAGCACAAACATTTTATAGTTTCAATTTTCTGAAAAATTCTGAAGGGACAAGAATTTCTTAGGGAGATATGCTTTATTGGACCAACTATGTAGTTAGGATGAAATGAGACAAGCTTTTGAATGCAAGACATTCCTTCTCAAAGCTCACTTGTCTTGTACCCTAAAAAATTCTTGCCTCTCACATAATTTCTGGACCATCCTGACTACATCACACTTAGAATCCTGAAAAATTTTGAAATTTCATATGTCCATCCTAATTTAGGAAAAAACTCAGTTTTGAAATGTCAGAATGTCCCATAGGATGGAATTTTTGCCTTTTGCTCAGGTCTACAGAGGACTTGTGAAGGAGTCTCAGAGACTCTGAGAGGGAATAATATGCAGCAGTTGCACATATTATTTGCTGGTAAGATAAAGCTTCTGAGCTTCAATCCAGGATGCTTGTCAAGAGTGTGCTGCACAGCTCCTTTTTCAGGCTAGCAAGTGCACTGCACTCTTAATGATTTGGGAAAACTTTACAGAGGCTATTGATAGCAGTAACATCATTTTCCAAGGGTTATTTTTTGTCTTCAGCTTTATTTGGGTTTTACCTTAGAAGCTGCTTTTTCATGTTTTCTTATACAAGTAACTGAGATCATTTTCCCTCTGTAGTACTCTCTAAATTGCCTTCAACAGCAAGAAATAATCCCTAGTTTATAGATTACAATACATTCTGAAAACCACTGTCTTAGACACAGGAGAAAGACCAGGAGCCAATGGTGGATGTAGACTGTTAGGCTTATATTTCTGTCTTCTCTGATTACATAAAAGAGGGCATGTCTTCATGGTTGTATTTAAGGTATAAAAACTACAGGAAAACCAGTTACTGCAGAACTGGATTTGCAGATATTCACTTTATCTCCCTCTTCCCTCCCTGTGCCCTCCACCCAAAAAACCAAATTGGGTCTATTTCAGTGAGACTGCCTAAGTAAGAGACTCATTTTTTTTCTCTGATCTTTCAGACTATTAAGCCTGCTGATATTGCTACTGTTCGTAAACTGGGTAAACCTCCTCATTTGATAATGCGGATCATGGATTGTGTGCTGCTTTTGTTCCAAAGAAAAATTGATTCTGTGCAAGCTGACCCAGAACGACCATGTGTGAAACCCTCATGGACTGAAGCTTTGAAGCTAATGAATAATTCAGGATTTCTTAGTATGTTGCTTACTTTCCAGAAGGTGAAAAAGAAATGTTATTATTGCTCCCCATAACAACCTCTCTAGATGCATTTGCCTTTATACTATGCATAATCTATTGTAGTAACTAATTCAGTAACTGATTTTATGAATTAAATGGCTGCTTTTGTGAATGTACTTACATTACTAAAAAGGCTTGTTTCTTTTTTCATTGGTCATTACTTTATAGTACTGGTCCTCACCCCTTGTATAATACCAGCTCTTAGCTTTCACTTATTTTTTGACTGAAGAAAAATAATAGAATCGTTTCTCCTGTTGCAAAGAACTCAGAAAGACCACCACAAGTCAGAAATGTTTGTGACACTACAGTTTTCAATTTGAGTTCTCTAAATGTATCTTGCAAATCATATGTAGGTGTTTGCACACCTAACAGTGCCAATATTGCGCATTACCCTTAAAAGGATCTCACAGCACCCCTTTTTATACTCATGTCTGCTAAAGAGAACTAGATGGTGTAGGAGCCTGCCAAAGGAGTTGAACTGGTAAATGGAAGTGTCCCAACTAATAGGTCAAAACTTAAGCTCTGAACTTAGAGTTTATCTAGTTTTTATCCTTACCCTTCAATCAGACTGTCTAAAAAAAGGATTGATCAAAATTTGAATGAAGATCTGTACATGTGGATGATTGCTGTTGGGACAGCCTACAAGTCTCCACACAGATATGAACTTGGCCAAAAAAACCCAAACTTATTTGTAGAAATGCCTCTCTACACAAGATGAAGCTCTGTTGAGTGAAGTATTCCAGAGCAGACAACTTCCTCTAGCAACAAATCTGCAACGCATTTTTTCATAACTCTCATCTCACAACAGTGTCTCAATACACCCTAAAGTAAAAAGGGAAAGGGAAAGAAGAATAAAGATAATGGGTCCTGTACTCCTAAATGAAATAAAAGTCCTAATGAGTTTTCCTGTTTCATGCACTTCTTAATACTGTACATGTCCCTAGTCATAGATCTCTGTGCATTTAACTTTGCTCTCAAGAGTAAAAACAAATTCTGTGGGAATGTCTAAATCACCTCAGTTATTTGACTTCGGAGTTATCACGGACATTTTACTTTTTGGTGAGGTTTCCAGAGATCCTGGTTTTGTCAGGGTCACTTCAGATTCTGGCTGAAGTACAGAATTTTAAAGTTATGAAACAATTTAAAAAAATTATTCACCTATAATTTTCAAACCTCTAAAGGGAGATTTAGGCTTGATTCTTATTTCACCCCAAATAGTGAATAGGATAAAAAATATAAACTTTTTCAGGCAGCTATCCTACATGCATCAAACTTTCCTTATGTAAACACATCTAAACCTATTTGCAGCTCTTACCATTATCATCTTTGTTTCTATTACAGTATGTCAGGATCAGTCAGGTATAAAACAGGAATTTCTGTCAAGAATAAAGACATATTATATTAATCCATGGCTGTGAATCAGAGGGTGATTAAACTGATAAAAAGAAATCTGTCAGGATTTTTTTGTAGAAAAAGTGGTTGGCAACCTTTAATACATCTATTGTTAAATGTCCACTGCTATCATGCACAAGCTTTAGCAGTGTGTACTGCGTAAGGGAACAGCTTCCATTTGCCTCAAGTAATTAAACAGATATTAAAGCACCCTCATACTTAAGGATTTGCTTCTTAATTTTTTTAATAGTTTGTGAGAAAATATGCGATGTAAATAATGAATGTTAAGTTAAATGGAATTCTTTCTAAAATTAAGCATCATTAGCGGTTATTAGGATAGGGTCAAATAAGGCTGTTAAAGATAAACTTGTTTTCAGGCATAGAGCAGGTCATGTTGCAGTCAAAGCCACCAAAGAATTTCTGTCTTAGTGTAGGCCACACATAATTAGAGAAACAGCTCTAACATCCTCTACAAGCGTGGAATGCAACAACCTGCTTTCCTTTTGCATCCTTTAGTAGGGACCTACACATAGATGATACACAGGGAGTGCATGTACACCTCCTGAGAGTGCTGGTGCCCCCCCACCCGAGAGTGAGCACTCTTGGCTTAGGCAACGGGCAGGGGGGCAGGTAGAGTGCTGATACCGACTCCCTTCCTGAGAAGTGCTGCTGGCACTTCCGGGCTTGGCATCCATCCACTGCAGGACCGTCCTCCCTGGTTGGCAATCTGCCACAGGGGGACCCCCGCCACCAACACCACTGTGGCGGCCTGTAGACAGTCCCCACTTGGCCCACCCTCGCTGCTGACACCTGTGTCGCCACCTGCGGGTGGTTGCTGTGCCCCCCCAGCCTCAGGAGGCATGCATCGCCTATGGACATACCTAAATCAAAGCAAGACAAAGGGATTTTTGCAGGCTGCTTGTGGCACACAGAGCCAATTTTGCAGTCTTTTAATGTAGAAACCTATAATATTTACTCTAAGTCATTGGGTTCCAGGGATGGGGTGCTTACTCAGACCTCCATGCCTTTGAGGTTCTGTCCTCGAGTCACCATTCAGCAGAGACCAGTGGGGTGATAAACGGCTTTATCTATTTTGGGAAACAGGATGCAGGAACACACACTCACAGCTTGCAGGGAGAACAACGACACCAACCAAACTGCACCCACAGGGCATCAGGGGGAAGGACTGGAGTGTCCCACTGCTGGTCCCTTAAAGGTACATTCTATGTACCACAAAGCCCCCCCTCACTGCTGATTGGCCAACAGGGTCACCACTCATCTTCAGACTGCAGCATTGTTGGTTTCTCAAACGATGGTGCTGAAATCCTTTTGCTTTCCTGACTGGCACTGTCACTGAGTCTACTTAACTAGTTCAGGCTCTCAGTAGCTCTCTCTCAAACCACATGCTCTATGGCTGCAGGGATTGCCACTCTTTCTTTGGATTCCAGTAATCTTTCAGTTTTTGTCTGGACGATTCTACAGGAATTGCAGGAAACACCTTTTTTTGCGGTGATCATAGAAGCTGCCATTTTCTGCTTTCTGCGAAAATCGTGAAACTGGGATTTAAGTAGGTCCCTATTCATTATTTCTGCAAGTAAGAGGAGAAGGGGCATGGCTGTGTTTCTGTTCTCATCCACACTTCTCTGCCTCCTTGGGGAGGCTAGCACTAAACTAAAAGAGTGTCTGCACTAGCCAGTCAGATTGTGGCTAACATCTGCCCAGTTTCAAAAGGCTCCTTTTACACACAACTTGTCCCTCCATTGTGAACCAAGGGATGATCTGGCCCATAGTTATTTGCTTTATTTGTGCTGTGCTTCCAAGTGTAGTCATACTCTGAGAAATCTTACAGATTTTTCCATTTTTTCAACGTGCTCTGCAGTTAATACAAAAAAATATTCAAACAGGAAATTAAGACCATGAATGCATAATCATAAATCAGATCTTCAGTTGCTGAAGTTCAATTGATAGAAATATATCATCTTTCTTGAGGAAATATCAAACAGCTTTAAATAATTTTATCTTGTATGGGTGCTCCCTATACAATAATGCTGTCTTGTACCATATTCCAATATGGAGTAAAAATATAAAACCAAATACAGTGTGATGGCTATTATTATGATAAATTGATGATTATTATTGATAATAATAATTAGTCACATGGAATGTTTACTATATAGTAGTCAATATATATAGTTTAATATATAGTAATGGTCTGCATAGGGATGATCCTGCCTCAGGCAGGGCGTTGGACTAGATGTCCTGTGGAGGTTCTCTTTCAGCCCTACTTCTCTATGACTCTATCACTTTTGTAAGAAAAAATAATATTGTGAAGAAGGTCTTTGTCACAGAGCACCGAGGTGCTCTGCTCCTAGAGAGGAGAAACTGCCAGGGAGAGAGAGACAGAGCCCTGGCAGGTCATAACGAGCCCAGCTGAGGGTTGCCAGGGTAACAAGTGCAGCTGCGGGTTGCCGGAGCAACTAAGGGGTGCCAGCTGCCTGGAGGGGGCAGGGCCTGGTCCTTATAAAGCCCAGGGCTGAGGCCAGGCTGGCAGTTCCCTGCCAGCAGCCGGAGAGGCAGGAGCTCCCTCAGCCAAGATATGGGAAGAAGCCTGACTTGCAAGTACAGCTCACGATAGCCCTGAGAGGATTGGGCACTATGGTTTAGCCAGGGGGCTTTATGTTTGCGTTACAGCCGGGAGGCTCTAGTTTATGTTTGGCTTACATATTATACTGGAGGTTTGGGTGAGGCTGTAGAGGTTAGAGGAGGCCTCATAGGGACCCCAGAGAGTGTGGGGTGCCCTAGCGCCAAGAGGGCGCAGTGTCCTCATAGGGACCCCAGAGGGGTGGGGCCCCAGCGCCTGAGTGAGGGCACAGTACTTTAAGGGGGAACCCCAGTGGTATGGGAACCCTGGCGCTAGTGAAGGTGCAGCTTGCAGTGAGGAGCGCAACCAGTGGGTTGCGGGCGGGAAACATAGACCCCGGGTTGTGTGTGGGGTACATAGACCCCAGCCCCAGAGAGGGGCAGCCTTGAGAGGCCCCAGCGCAGGCATGACGAGCCCCAGAAGAGGGCAGTGCTAGGAAGCCCTAGCATGGGTGTGGCAAGCCCCAGAAAGGGGGGGCGCACTCTAGAGGAGCCCAGCGTGGGCCCAACAAGTCCCTGAGAAAGGGGGGGACTATTGAGAAGCCCAAGGTGGGCACAGTGAGCCCCAGAGAGGGGGAGCGCCATATTGAGAAGCCCAAGATGGGCGTAGTGAGCACGGCCGTAGGCTAGTCCTCAGATAGGGGCAGGGTGCTGCGGTGGACCCCGACAGAAGGGGTTAGTAGTACGACGCCCCAGGAGAAAGGCAAGGTGCTGCGGTGGTCCCCGGAGAAAGGGGATAGCAGTGCGGTGAGCCGGGATCGGAGAGGGTAGCCGTGCGGTTGGCCTAGAGGACCGGAGACCCGCTAGAGGGTTCCTGAGCAGGACAACACTTTTAGAGAAGGCCCAGAGTGGGCTTGATGAGAGTCCCAGTGAGGGGGTATGTATTAGAGAGAGCCCAGAGTGGGCTAGACTACAGGGGAGGCCCAGGAGTGGGCTAGATTACAGAGGAGGCCCGGGAGAACGGGCGTGTATCGTGACAGACCAAAGCCTCCCGAACCTACTGAACATCAAAGACGTGGCGGGCGAGAATAAGAGGGTGCCTTGGGCCGGCCTTGACACGGAGCGAGGGACCTCGAGGAGATCACGGCCCTCCCTAAAGGACCCTGTCGTGACAGTCTTTATTTTAAAATTGTGTTATAAAAATATTATCAACTTGACTAATTCCAAAAAGGGGTATATCTATGTACTGTATGATTTCAAAAATTAATATAGCTTAGTCATAAAATGTAACTTATATCTTAACTTTCTTGTAATTTCTGGTAAATTTCTTAGAGAGAACCTCATTTCAATTTTTAGGCATTACAATGCATTGCACTTTTTGTAAGTATGATAAACACTGTGTTTGGAGGAATACAAATATATTTTCCATTTTTTATTCCATAGGATTCAATTACGGGAGAGATAGTAGAACTGCTAGAGCCTTACTTAGAGATGGACGATTATAATTTGGAGACTGCTAAAAAAGTTTGTGGCAATGTAGCAGGTCTTTGCTCATGGACACAAGCAATGGCCTACTTCTATGGGATTAATAAAGAAGTCCTTCCACTTAAGGTATTCAATGCTATTTATTTTCTGTAAGTGAAAGATGAACACATATGAGTTAAAAATAAATTCTCATCTTGGCTGAAATACAACCAAGATTGCAAACACCAAGATTGCAAATTCATGCACTTAAGAATTAGGAAACATCACAATTAAGTTTGTCTGAACAATTTTAATTCAGACTCCTTGTGCAGATTCATTATGATACAAGCTTTAATTATGTGAGCACATACAGTTTTCCTTCCAGGACCTTTGTCTTATTCAGTGCACTGCTTCATTTCACTGCCTAAGCATCAGTAAGGAGAACAATTGAAAGCACAGTCTTCCTGCCCACCACTTTTATTACCCCACTCTTGGGGAAAATCCTGCTCAGCTTCCATAACCTTGACATGGAGTATACCCAGTCCTGTTCCATGCATCTGTAAGAGGATGGAGAATACTTAATAAAAACAGTGCAAAGTGTATTTTTGAAGAATTTAGCTCATAAATTCTAGCAAGTTCCTGCAGGTGCAAACTGAGCTTACCTTAACGATAGCAGTCACTGCCTGCACTATCTATAAATCTTATACTTCCATGGTAGATGCATTTCATATACATTTGTTTTTAAAAATTAACTTTAAACATTTGTGTTATATTTTGTATGCAATACACACTACATGCATAATTGGAGGACATTTTGCATTGCTGCTTCATGAACTAGTTACCAGCTGGTTATGTGACTACTCTACTTGGTGTTTAACCCCCTGTTACTTTAGGTAAACCATAGCAATACCAGTATTCAAACTGTTAAAACTCCCTCAGAATAACTCTAGTCATAGCTAATACTGATTCATTAAACAGATTAGATGTTTTCATTGTATTACTGAGATAATTGATATAGAAGACTATGCAATTAATGCACATAGCATTTTCTTTTTAAGTTTATGAGAGCTATGAAAAAATTAAGCTAATACCTCATAAGAAATACACTGAGAATTGTAAAATAGAGAGAGATCTAGAGGTAATAGTGATTGGCTGTCTATATGTGTATGAAAGGTGCAAAAATATAACTACAGTGTTGGTCTGTGTATGCCTGCTTTCATCTCTGGAGTTTAAATCCATGTGTGAAGTTAAATTTGTTCAATTTGTTATGCTCATGTTTGAATGTTTTGCTGAACTGGGTGAAAGAAAAGCCTAAGCATGTATCACTTAGCAAAGTGATGATTACTGTCAGACAGGGCAGCAATCTGCAAATATGTGAAAAGTGCAAAAGACAAAGGAGAGAGGAATTATCTACAGTGGTATGAGAGGCAGCCAAAGAAGCAGTGGCACAATATTAAGAAAAAGTTAAAGTAAAGCATTTACTATTATACTGCAGAACATACTAGAACATGTACTGTGGGGTACAGTTCTCCACTTGGGAAGATGGACTGATTAAATTGGTGTGTTGCATTCAAACCTCTGTCCTATTCTATTCTATTTAAACTTCAGTTCTGTGAGGCAAACTGCCTGAGTACCTGTTGGCAAATTTACCTCCAGTGTATTCTTAAATAGCATCTTAATTGAGAATCAATGCCTTGTTAATCTTAAACTTGAGAACCCAAAAATACTTATGAAGACAGTAATGATTCATATTTTAGTGAATGTAACCTTAAAAATCATTCATCCAAGAAGCCAAGAAATAGATATACACTATCTCTAGAACTACAGCATGTATCCTAAAAGGCATTTAGGAGAGAAACAGACAAACAATACAAAAGCAAAGTCAAATACAGCAAATAAAGCAAGTATATTGTGAAAGGGGCTTTTTGTTAGCTAGAGAGTGTAATTTAATGATGATGTTTTTTTGATTTTATGTAAATCTTTAGCATGATGGGGAGTTGTTCTTTTGAGGTTTCCCATCTAGAAAATAAGCCCCTCTGGATTAACTTGGTAAATCTCAAAAACCATCTGCTGTTTATCTGTTAGACAAAAGAAAGAAAGAGGCTTGTATATAGCTCTGACTCAGTCATATTATATGATAGACTAGACTTGACATAAAATAGTATATGTAGGTTGATACTTTCCTTTACAGCTGTTTCCAGTGATTTTAATTAAAAATTTACCCTGGTGTGATGAATCTACGGACAGCTTATTAATATTCTGTTTGATAGTGGGGCTTCTCTAGTATATCTGTGTCGAACTCCATTTTGAATGTAGGGCTTTTCTGCTTTCTCTGCTATCTTTTGATAGGAAAAATTGTTGTACCAGGCACACTGCTAACAGTGCAAGGTTATTAAATTGTGGCAGTCATCCATTCAGACAGGGAACCGTTAAACAAGTTGGCTCAAATCCAGGCAGACCAGTTTTTAATGTATGAACTCCAAATGAATGATAATTAAGCAACAGATCATGTACGGAGAGATTGAGACAGATTTGGGAGATAAATTAGTCACTTAAAGGAAACAAGAAGGTGAAAGAAAAAGGATGTTGAAGAAAGTGGAAGCAGCCATGTTCAGGAAAATGGGATCATAGCTTCTTTAGAAGGTGATCACCTAAGCCAAAGAATGGTCAAGAGTGGGGAGGAAACTGAGCCAGAGGAATGTAATGTTTGTGGGTGTTTTATTATTTTACTATTTTGGAATCTAGATACTTCTTCTGCTAGCTGAAGTAAAGAATAACTGCCTTTGGAATCTTTGCAAAGCCTGTATATCCTTGCTTCAAAAATTGTGTCCCTGAAGTGGTGAACTATAAACCCACACTTTCTCCAAGGCGGGAGCTCTGGGAACAAGTGTGCCAGGGAACTGGGGTGTCTCTATAGAAAATCATCTCTGATCCTGAGACCCTAGACCAGGTGTGGGCAAAATGGCAGATCCAGCCAGCAGACGGACTTCATTTCCCAGCAGCCCCTGCCCTCGTTGCTGCAGCCAGTTTCCGTAGAGACCCCAGTAGCAGTGGCACCATGACAGTGCAGGACCAGGGTTTCCATGGAGACTGGCCCCAGCAGCACTAGCAGGGCATGCAGCTGGGTGAGGAGTTGCTCCGGTGGTAGATCTTGTGGTGATGACAGTGTAGTTCAGAGCCAAGGCAGAGCTGCTGTGAAAGAACTCCCTCCCAGCCTCCTCACTTTTTGGGTTGTCTGTTCCCCTCTGTGTCTCATGTGTCTATCAATCCAGTTGCTAGGCAGCCAACTCACTGCTACTGCCTACATGACTGGCCCCAGGTAAGAGGATATGGATTTAACCTATTGTTTTGAATTCAGACCTTACAACATGGGGCAGGGGCTTAAGCCCATCACTCCATCAGGTAACTGTGATGTTTTTCAAATTGATTGGCCGGCATCAAATGACACCTGTCCCTGACTGGGTCCAGGTGGTGAGGTCAGGAGGGCTAGTTAAGAGTGTCCCTGTAGGCAGGAGATAGGTGGACATTTTAAAACACACACACAGAAGCATGGGCCTCTGCAGGTCTCTCTCATTCACTGAATGCAGAAGTGAGTAACTTACCAGAAACTTAACTAGGAACTTAGTTTAATATACTCTAGTCACATATCAAAAAGCTACCAAGCCACTTCTGTTTGTTCAGGGTTATTCTTTTGCTACTTCTCTAACTTGTACTCCTCTGCATGCCTACCCTCTCTACCCAATAAAGCTAAATGTTATAGCCCGCCTTGTTGTACATGCTTGAGAGGGATTGGGCAGGCTTCCTTGCTCTCTTTACTTGGCTGACTTTCTATGCTTCAGGCTATAAGAAGCACCCAGATATATCCTGGTGGGAATAAGCAACCCCTAGGTCTACAGAGTCTGTGTACCCTGGGTGGCACAGGGCTCAGACAAAGACCTGAGTCCAGGTGGTGGCAGCAGTACCCCAAGCTTGCAGGTGTGCTCCAGGAAGAGGCACTCGGAGCTTGGGTTTTGGCCATGCACAGTGAGGCGGGTGGCTCAGCGCAGGAGCTCCCCCTACTGGTCCACCACAGCTGTAATCCGCTGCCTGCACACCCCAGGCAGGGGCACACAGACAGCAGATCATGGCTGTATCTGAGCTCCGGACCATTCTGTCACCACTGCAAGATCCCAGCCTTGGCCCTGGATCAGGTCCCTGCCCAACTGCACACCCTGGCAGCATTGCTGGGGCCGGTCTCCATAGAAACCTTGGCTCCATGTTGTCATGGCCCCACTGCTCCTGGAGTCTCCGTGGAAACTGGCCGCAGCAATGCAGGCAGGGGCTGCTGGGCAATGGAGTCCACCACAGCCCTATCTGGCCCATGGGCCAGACTTTTCCTGCCCCTGTCCCAGACCAATGGCCTGTGAAGTCATATTTGCATGGAGGAGTATCAGGCAGAGGGTGTGTACCAAGGAAATGTTCCAGAGAGTCCAAGAATAGAGACAATCCTGGAGCCTGTCCGGGCCAATGGAAGCTTACAAGCACACGTGCCAGATTCTATTCCACCTAATAGGCACCTAGGGAGACTTAGATGCCTACACGTGATTCTATTCCACCAATAGAAAAAATCTGAAAATCTGAAAATCTAGATTTCATCTACTTTTTGTAACACACCATCATCTTGCCCTTAAGACTGAGTTATAATAAAGCATTGAGGAGAAGAAGCCACCCACCTTTCTTATTAACAGTTTTCCTGGAATGCAAGCAGGGTGGGAAAAAAGATGCACCACGTCCACTTATGCACCTAATAGGTGGAATCAGTCTGGCCCTATAAGCTTAGCAAAGGTAGAGGCAAACACAAGCCTGGTGATTGCCCACTGGTAGAGCATTATGAGAACTGTGACAGCTGACAAACTTGGAGAACTGAGATATCAGAAACAAAGAGAGACAATGGGAAAGCTAACAGCCTTGTTGGAAGTTATGATGAGCACATTTCCAGCTGTGAGTTTCAATCTTTTCCCATTTATATATTTACCTATTTCCCAATGAAACTTTCTGAAGTTGCTGAACAAGTCCCTGTTTACAATGGTGGAGAGGTTAAGCATGGGGAACATAGGTTAGCAAAAAGCTTAAGTATATTAAGTAATCCCTCTGAAGGCAAGTACATG